CTACCAATGGCTGCTACAAATGAAGCCCAAGAGGCTGGCAGCTGATTTCCAAGAGCTTGATGATTACACACCAACTTAAAACACTTGTCTATTTGTGAAGCAAAACAGAAGCCTTTTCCGAAGTCAACAAAAGGAGCCACTTGTAAGCTGCAGTTAGTCCACACAGATATATCTAGACCTCAGAGAACTCCTTCATTAGCAGGGAATTCATGTTATGTTCCCTTTATTGATGATTTCACAAGTGGCAACCAAATTCAGATTCTGACATTTGATAACAGCAAGGAGTATACCTAAGAAAACTTCAATCTGGTTTGTGAGGAAGCTGGCATTGAGCATCAGTTAACTACTCCCTAAATTCCTCCTGCTTATGTAATCTTTTGTTTGTTGTTTCTGCCTTAGTCTTAAAGAGTGTGTTAGGAAATCTTAGATACTTTGTTATTCCAGTTTGTATTCACAGCTTATTCCAAGGATCATATTGTTAGTCAGTAGTTATTCGTTAAGCTTTATAAATTCTAATGCTTCTGATATTAAAAAATGAAAGTTCAGTTTTTTTCTCCTTTAATATACGTTTTCTTCTCTGTTAAGCAAGCTCTGTTTCTTATTTTCTCTTGAAAATCACTGACACATTCCATTACTTGTCCTAATAGCCCATCAGATATGATTTTCATGAGGATTTTTTTTTTATTTCAATGTCATAGTCTCAATATCTCAAAAACAACCCACCTTCCTACTTTGAAATAATATGGAAAGTTCACAATCAATTCAGCAGAAAATATCTAACTAAGGATACAAACCAGACTAAGAATTACAACGCATAAAATTTTTTACCTCTGGAAGCTTTTTACGGAACACTACATCCAGTCGTGCATCAAGAGTATTCTCACACACAATCTTGCCATCACGAGAAGCCAGAACCACCCCACCAGAGCTGAATATCAAAGAAAATAATCAGGTCTGCCTTAACTGAAATTTAAATAACAAAGCAGCTAAGACAGGTAATACGATTTTAGGAAGCCTCCTATTGTTGTGGATAAGAATTGCTATGATCATAAGATTTGAATTTGCACTTTTCTCAAAAGACAATGTTGGATTATAATTAACCAAGAGGAAAAAGTAAATTGTAGAGTGAGAAAGCAAATTCTTGATTGGCAGGGCCAAACAATTAGTTAAGATTTATTTTTTGTAATATGAACTTTACCAGTAGATATCATGAGCATTGTGATGACTGGGTCCAGGTGGAAGATAGACTTGGTTGTCAACAATGATCTGTGGGGGCTCAACATTTGCTTTATCAGCATACTCCTGTGCAGCAGAATCCAGCACATGCTCTACCAAGTGTAGGTCCTCTTTCCGACATCTCAATAAGACAGAAGGTTCTTTCAGTCTTAGCAAACACTGTAACAAAAGCCCTAACATTATGCTCCAAGTCCATATACATACGCATAGAAGGTACTCTATAAACAGATGTCAAGGAGACTATCTATATCATTACAAAGGATTTAAAAGGGTCATGTTGACTAGGAAAGAGGAAGGGCAAGGAATTGATCCCATGCCATTCAATATACCATGGAGACCAAGGTTGGTTCCCATGTCAGGAGATAGTTATAATTCAAATGTACCCAAGCACTCAGTGAACTCATCCTCAAAAGTTAACTTATAAGGGAAGGGAACCAATCACCCAAATACCCCACGGAGGATCCTATACCACTTGATGTGGGACTTAAACATCCCACAGTACTCAAGTTCTTATCATAGCACCACCCATTAGGGGCAACTTCTTTTCAACTTTCATTCCACGGCACTTCATATGGTGATACTTCACTAACTTTCCTGTTAGTCAGAACCGTACGTAGCCCTTTCCATGATGCAAACATCCTGCTCCAATAATAGTACCCAATCACTTGGAAACCCACTCTAAAAAAGTAGCTAGCACAAGGGGAGAACCAAACAGTTAAATACTCCACTGCAACACATAATACCCAAGTTCCTATCACAAAACGAACAACATGTTGATACAATGGTGTCTGTGGGTAATAGCAAGTTGCAATGAAAATACTAGTTATATATACAATGTTGCGCCCATCTACGCAAATAATACAAAAGTAGGACACATTAAATAAATAACATTAAAAATGGTTGCCTAGCTGCAAGGATCTAACTAGAAAAAGATGGAAAGAATAATTGACAACTACCTAAGCACTTGCTATCACAAAAAAATCGCCAATGTTATAAAAAAATGTCTCTATGTAATAGGAATTTTCAATGAAAATACTGGTTATAGACACAATAAATAAACAGCATTAAAACAATTTTGTATGAGTAAGGGTCTTACAGAAAAAAGGAAACAACAATCTGACATCGATACTTGGCAAAACAGCAAATTCAAATCAAATCATAAGTAGGTTTACCATATTCAAAGTTTAACTGACCTGAACAACGAGATCTTTCAAAAGGTTTCTGTACACATGATCATGATGAGTCACAGTCAAATGATGATGATGACTCACACTCAAAAGTTCCTTGGAAGCAGCTTCTTTCATGGAACTGATCACATCATCTTGAGCTTGAAGAACTTTAATTCGAGAGGCATTCAGCTGCATCGAGTACTCACTACAAACACAATCAATTGGTTGTGCATCAAAACACAAACTATCTCAAGTAGCAGTGTTCTTTGCCACTTTAAAGCACAACATAGCCCTGTATTTCAGACTATGAAATAAAATACATCTCTGAAACTAAACCCACAATCTCCTTCGTCAAACTTTGAAAATATCCTTGTGTTCGAGCACTTTGCCACAGATGTCAACAGATTGAAAGAAACTGAACACCAAACCAAAGTACTCAAACCCAAACAAAGTAAATATAAAAGAGAACAGGTTAAACCTCCGGCCATATTTTCCAAATGCAAAAGTTTGGAACTATCATTAACTATAGATTTTACTGAAAATTATGACAAGACAACAAGGAGTTGGTAGACTATCTCATAATTGATATGAATTGCATGCATTCGTCAATGCAGAAATACAGATCCGTCCTAATTCATAAATTTAAAAAGAACTATTGCACAAAAGATCATATTCTAGTACTTAAAACACACAGAACCACAATCACAGAAGTTCAATTATAAATACACAGAATGAGTGATAACATAAAAATAAAATAAAATAACTGCACTACATCCGGTTCCATAAGGATTCAAGCATCGGCGGTACCAGTAACAACAGTCAATAGGCATTGCCGCATTAGCGTACGGATCAAGATCTATACGAGTAAGACTTAGCCTCCAGAATTTAGAGACATCTAACGACAAAACCAAATGAACTTTGAAGTCGAAGAGACAAAGAGAAAGGTATATAGAAAGTTACATCTTCTTCCGAATTTCGACTTGACGCTCTTTTCGTTCGTACTCTTGCCTGATCTTCTTCTTTTCGGCTTCAACTAACTGTAGCTTCTCGATATTGAATTCCTGCAGAAGAAAAAGTAAGATTCGGTTTGACAGCATGAACGAAGAGCGAAAGAGAAGAAAACACGGCGAAATGAAGAGATACCTCTTCGGCGGAGACAGAGATCTCGTTAGCTTTTTCCTCTGCTTCCTGGCGGATGAACCGCACCATCTGCTGGATTTGCTTAGAGACATCTGCGTCGTTCATTTTCGGAGAGTCACTACAAACTTTCTCTGAGATGGAACTTGATATCTTGCCCCACTGTAACAACTCACTCCAGCACACCTCTTATTTGAGCACATTTATGCTAACATCTTAAAATTACACATTCTGGTTTACGCGTATAAAATTTATTTCTTTATTTCAGGACATGTCACCCTACAAAATAATCTCACAAATTATAGAAGGAAATGAGTTTAATTTACTGTCATAATAACTTAACTGTTATTTTATTTTACAAGGAAACTTCAATACAAAACACAGATAATATCTATACAAAAATTGAAAAGAAAATTTTGTCAGAGAAATATTAAAGGGTTAATGTTTTATCTTGACTCATTTAATTTCAATATTAAATTTTAATACTGTCCATTATTTTTAAAGTGATGAATTTTGTCTCATTATTCAAATAATGTTTTTATAAATTAAAATCACTTTTAAACTTCTAAAATATTGAATATAACTTTAAATTTTTACATTAATAAATTAATTTCTTTTATTAAAATTATTGTTTTAAACGCTAAATATTTAATGACAACTATTTACATTATTAACCGAATAAATTAGCAGATTTTATCAAAAATCTTATAGATATATTTTGATATAAGTTTGGATGATATTCATCCATTACATCAATAAATTAATTAAAAAAAGTAAAATTAAATAAATTTATAAATATTTTATCACATATTATACTAAAAATCAAGAGAAAAAATATGACTTACTAGATTTATAAACATTTTAGAACATCTTTAAATGCAATATCTTATTTTAAGATCTTACATTATTTTTTGTATAGATACTTCCATTTATTGTATTCACTTTAAGATTTTAAGTAGCTTTTTTTTTATAAATCCTACAATGATTTTTTTTTTTATTAAGGGATACTGAAATATAATATTATTTATCATTTTAGGTATTTTGATAGCTTTTGAGGATTTAAAATACAATATCATGATATATGATGGAGATTTTATCTCTTTTCAGTATAAGATATTGTAACTCAGATTTTGAAAAAAAAAATTGTTTATTTTCAAATTCTACTATTACACAATTTTTTTGTGCCATGGTAATTTAAAAGTTTTTTCATTTTTCAATCAATTGAAAATTACTGCTGAAATGATTTTTAAAGTAATTATAAAAGTTACACATTTATTTCAAAAATTACAATTAAGAATTTTTGCTTAAAATTGAAATTTATATCAGTTTAATAGATATTTTATCAATATACGAAAATTTTCTGTATCAATTAGATAAACGAACATTCATTAGAGGTTGAGACAGCTGTCACATTTTAATTGGCAGATTTCACTACTATTTAGGTCACTCTTCAACGCAGATACCCCCAATTGCGAGAGTGCCATTACAGCTTGGATCAATTTCGCGCTCTCAACCAGCTCCCTCAAAAACCCTTATTGGAGACCATGAGTAAGTCTCCGAGCAGAGATCTGCAAGTCTTTGATTTCAATGAAGAGGATGATGCTGCAGCCTCGGACAAAGATTCCCATCACCAATCCCTATCCCACCACGATCCTCACGGTAAGACGATTCCCCTAAAATTCTAATTCGCCAAAACAAACGTTATCTTCAATGGGAATTGTTCATCTATAATACACGTTTTCCTTTAAAATGTTAATTCCAAAACGTTAACTCGGTAGGTGTCGCCATTGTGTTATTCGTGTTTGATTATTAATGGTTTTGATTTTAAGGTATAGTGTATGCTTCCTAGAGAGTCAAATTGAAGGAACTGAAGGAGAAGGATGAAACCTACAGTAGATTTTTTCCTCTTAACGTTTTTTTGTTTGTCTGTGGACTTGAGGTTATCAATAATTTTAAAACTATGGTATCATGATTGTTGGATATGTTTTTTGACATAAGTTGGATTGTGTTGAGTATAGACATTATAGTTTTGATTGTAGTATGCGGATGAACTTAGGGCGTGTCATGGTTGCTGGATTCGGGCAGGGAAATTGAACTTTGTGTTCTTTAATAGATGGATAATGAAGAATGACTATCTATAATTATTATCATGTGATGAAAAAGGGTTAAAGACATACTAATGCTTACCAGGGCACTCGTTAAGGAAATATAAGTGTTAAGGAAATATGCCTGTCATGACTTCTTGTGTTGTTTCCATTCATCTCAAAGCTGGTATTTAATTAAATTGATTATATATAGCCAATGATATATTGACAGATTCCCAGGTGAGCAAGGTTGGCATAAAGAATGTTGCCAGTGTACCTTGTGTTGGCGTAGCTGGTGCTATTTTTAATTTGGAAAAGGGTGGTTCTGACCCTTCTCCTGATACACCGGAAGATATGTATGATAGTGAAGAGAAGAAATATGTGTTGGAAGCTGACAAACAGTCAAATTTGGGTAGTCATGAAAATGATCATCTTAAAGATGTTGATAACTATAACAAGCCAGAGAAAATGGATATATGTGGCGAAGTATCTTCACCTGAAACAGGCCACATTGAGCCTTCAGGGACTTCATACAGTGTACTGTATCTTCAATTTTGTCAGATTACAGTCTAAGGAATTGATTTAATTGTGAAACTTATATCTATGTTCAATTATTTTACAGAATGAATCAATTGATGTCAATTCAGAAGCTGATGAGAGTGCTCCAACAAGTCCTGCTTCTGATATTCCAGAGAATGGTGCTGTATATTTTATAATCATGGAGTCCTTATAATTCTAGCACTTTCAATTTGAAAATTATATTGCAGTTTTCTCACTAAGTATTCATTATTTCAGTTTCATTAAATGGTTTTGGATTGAATGGCACAGACAATTCTGATATGGTAAAGTTTATTTAACGACATTGACATGATATGCAATGTTTTTTCACCTTTTTTGTTTTTTTTAGATTTGGTATTTCTTTAGTTGTTTTTTTATTGCTGTTCTTTTTACTTTTTCATCATTGATACATGCTATTTTTTTTATTGGTTTGTCTTTCTCCTGCCGCTGGTGCTTCATCGAATATACCTTTTTTACCTGAGAATATAAGTTGTTGTAATATCTCTTTATTTATTATTTTTGTTCTATATTATGTTGCTTTACTTTTTATTTCGTGTTGTTCACTATTATTTTCTTTGATGTATTTTCAGGATGACACAAATATGGAAGTCGTTCTTCATCCCGATTATGTCATATACCAAGATAATCATTATCTGGGGCCAACATTAACCTTTTCACCCTTTTCTGTCAAGATCAATGTTTCAACTTCTTGTATAAAGCAAGAAGCCTTTGATCTGGAATGGGCACTGGATGATCTCATTGACATTAATTGTCAATTGTTTCAAAGTGTGAGTTTTGTATTTCTATTGCTTTCATTACACTATATGTGTGTGTTGTGTATAAGTTCTATAATTCTCCTTTTATGCCTTTTCTTCAGAGTGGAACCGTCATTATTAAGCTTAGAGTAATATCAAGTAATGCAAGCCAGTCAAATCATGTAAGCAATGCTTCAGGTGAGTGCAATTACTATGGTTGATTAATGGGGAATGATATTCTTCGTTATGACTTGCATATTTGACATAACTTAGTATTTTTATTCAAACTGTAGCTATAAAACTATGTGGGTAAATTCTGGTATTAGGAGTTTGTAGACTGTTTTGCATATGATAACTTATCTGTTACTTACTGTACGTGCATTTTTGTACATATGCTAGGCATTGAGGAACTGAAATTTGCGCTTGTTGATTACAATTGGTCCCTGAGACATAGGCAAATCATATCCCTTAATACAAAATACTTGGCTTCTTGGAACATTGCGCTTCAGTAAGTCATTAAATTGTTTATAAACCAGTGATGTGTGATTTCATTGTCATGGTAAAATTTATTTGGAAGATCTGGTTCTCTGAATGCCAATTTGTGTCATTTTTGTGAAGTATTATATTCATGTTTGATATTTGTAGTGCGGATGTAGAAGGCAATGAAACTGATTCACATGCATCAAGATGCTACTTCCCAAAGTAAGAATAATTAATTTTCTTTTCCTTTCAAACAAGTTTACCTTTATGTATTGATGCTGTAGTCCATATCTTTTATTTTAAAAACATTTTCAGGTTTAGTGCTTTATGGTATTCTATTTCCTTTGCTGTTGCATGGTATATGTTGTCTTTTTATTTTCTTTTCCCTTTATTCAATAGTTTATTCTATATGGTTTAATGTGTGTCTGTAATATGTTTGGCTTAGGATGATGTAGCTTTTGGGATAGATGGTTCATGGCATGGTGTTAGAAGCTTTATGGCCATGGTCTAGGGTGGGTGTAACTTTTGCAATTCATTCTTCCAACCGAGAGTGTACTTGAGATTCAGAACAGAGAGAAAATATATGTTTAGAGGGCTTGAAGGACTCCTCTCGTAATCTTCTATTTATATTGAAAAACTGATACAAGAATCCATGGAAGGTTGAGGGACTACACTAGACACCTAGGTGCAGAACTAGGTACAATTGTAGGTACGGCTGATAGTCATTTCCAACACTCTACTCCCTGCACTTAGACTTGATGATAATACATAGATGTAATTATTCTAACAAGTGTCAAAGATATCATTTATTGGAAATCAAATTCTGTTATGGTTACATTTTCCATAGAATTAAGTAGAAACTTCACAAAATCTGTTATGTTGAGGAAATCAAGTTTGCATAAATCTACTGATTTTTTATACTTTTTTAAATCTTTCTATTAGACTGGGTATAAAAGATCATGATATCTTGTATGAAATCATTAGAGCCTACTACCTTGTACTATAATTTTCTTGTTTTCATATTTGTGTGTTTTGGAAGGGGAGTGTAACTTTTTATAGCAGTTTAACTCTGAGAATTTATGATCTGAAACAGTTTTGAGGAGAATTTTGATGATGTTATCTATCCAAAAGGGGATCCAGATGCTGTTTCCCTAAGCAAGAGAGATGTGGATCTCCTGCAACCAGACACATTCATTAATGATACAATTATCGATTTTTACATCCAGTAAGTTTTCTCTTTCTCTATTTGTATACATATCATTCTTTTGTTGCATTTTTTGTTAAAAATTATTTATTCATCATTTCTGTACGATAACATTTTTATCTTGTTCTACCTGTTTGAACCGTGGAGCTTCCTCTATCTTCTCTTTTTTTTTTGTATACTTATGTTAAAGATCCATAAAAATTGTAGGGTTAAAATCTATATTTTGATTCTGGATGGAGTTGACAATTCACAACTCTCAATCTTCGCAGGTATCTTAAGAATCAAATACCGGAGGAGGAAAAACCTAGATTTCATTTTTTTAATAGTTTTTTCTTTAGAAAGCTGGCTGATATGGACAAAAATCCATCCAGTGCTTCTGATGGAAAAGCAGCATTTCTACGTGTTCGGAAATGGACAAGAAAAGTAAATTTATTTGCAAAGGATTATATCTTCATTCCTGTGAACTTCAAGTAAGACTTTATTGAAGTTTTGGTTCTCTGACTTTCTATTTGTATTAAAGTGCTGATCAGAATTTTCTTTTCATGTGATGATAGTCTTCACTGGAGTTTAATAGTCATATGCCATCCTGGTGAAGTGGTTAATTTTAATGGTGAGATCTCAGTTTATATTCTTTCTTGTGATACTCTGTTTTCAGAAATTTATGTTATTCTGTGTATTCCAGACAAGGAGATGCACGATTCACTTAAGGTACCCAGTATATTGCATATGGATTCTATAAAAGGAAGTCATAGTGGTCTGAAAAACTTGGTGCAAAGGTAGACTAAAACTTCTCACTTTCTTTTGTTCCCCTCTTAATCTCTTTCCTGTCCCAAAAAATGTATGCAGATTTTATGATTTTATTGAAACTGATTCAGTGTTATATATGAAAGTGCAAGTTGTCTCTGGCTTCATGTTTGAGACCTTTGTAGACTATGCCCCTGCAGCTGAAGTTTGCAATTATTGATTTGGCCACTTTGTTAAATTGTGATTTTATAAAGCAATTGATAATGAATCTCCTGGTGGTTAGTGTGCTTGCTTTAATTATATTATTAGTCTTGAAATTTGGCTTGACCTTCATTATAACCAAAATTTGTAAATTATAATTTGTAGGAGCTTTTCAGGCTTTAGAACAAAAACTGATATTTTAAGCTAGTATTTGTGTATAATTATTCACTTAAACGATGTCTATGTTGTACTCAACTTTTGGCACAGCGTTACACATAAATCTGAATAATAGAGCTCAGTTGATCATGCATTTTTATTTATCAAACTGTAAGCGATTCTTGTAGATAAAATTTGTGTTATTGAAACTCTTAGAATTTGGGCTTAGGTTAGGACTTAACTCATAATACAAATAAGAACCAAAATTAATGTACTTATGGATGCTGCTTATGTGTATTGCCATTTTCTGTTACCTTTTTTCAATTTTGACATTAATATCACTTATTTATACTGTTATACATGTTTATTTCCATTGCAACTGTGCAGATTCCTTATATTTGCATTGTCGATTAAAAAATTGAACTCAAGGGAGTTGTATTTGTTCTTTTGTCATCTGATATTTTCAGTTACTTGTGGGAAGAGTGGAAAGAGAGACACAAGGATACCTTGGAAGAAGACCTTTCATCAAGATTCTTCAACATGCGTTTTCTTCCACTTGCGGTAATGTCTGCTAACATTTTGACGATTTTTACCAGGGCAATCATTTTTCTTTTAGAGACCCATTAGTGTTAAATGAAACTAATTTCTGTTTTATCATTTGCTGGGAAGTAGATACTACATTGTTTTGGAAACTGGCTATATTTTTATGAAAAATTTCTTACTGGTTGGTTTTACTGGCTTAATTATTCATATATAATATACATATAATTGTTTCAATCCATTATGTTAGGAGTTGTTTTCAGTAGACCCACAAATTAATCTAAGATTGAATGGGTGAGACATTTTAGATCTTGAGATTTTAAAAGCTGTTAATCCATGGTTTTGCAAAAGCAATACTCATTTTAATCTTTTTCTACTTTGTTTTCCATTGATGTTTTGCAAAGTTAAGCATTTTAGAATTGAGAGTTTTGAAAAATCTCAGACTAAAGTGCCCTAGTCATTCGATCTTGTAGATTAATTTGGGGTTTACTGGGTTTTTATGCAAACCTTGTGTTACATACATTTGAAGAGGAAAATCCCATCACTTGATAATTTCAACTTTCCCCTTTTTTTTTCTACAAACAAATGCATACCTTTTGCATTTGTATCTTTCTTTAAATGTCTCATTATTAGGTGGGTTATTCAAGGAACACGGATCACTTGGCTTTATTCTCTGAAATGATTTTTTAAATTTTATAATTGAATGCTATAACTCCATGGTAGTTGGCCTTTTTTTGCTTAAGACTGGTCACTTTTTGCCTTTTCTGCTTGAGTTCTCTTTTATTGTTATGATTGAATGCTCTCACTCCATGACAGTTGCCGCAGCAAGAAAACTCGTATGATTGTGGCCTATTTCTGCTTCACTACCTTGAGCTGTTCCTTACTGAAGCCCCTCTTAATTTCAACCCTATCAAACTAACCAAGTTTTCCAACTTCGTAAGTGATCTACTTATTCTTGTAGTTATGGTGTATTTCACACTTTTTGTTTGAACAAATGAAATCATTGGCAAAAGTTTCCATTCTAAAATCAATTATCTACTAGATTGGTTATCAATTTACGAATAGTTGTTTTTACTAAGAAATGCTGGTTGACTTAATTACTCGAGTGGTTCAATATTTATAAATGGCATCTTAGTAACGGATTCATACGGATTCTTATATGAGTTTGACCTAATATAACTTGTTATTTCCAGCTCAATGTAGACTGGTTTCTGCCTGCTGAGGCTTATCTCAAGCGAACACTGATCCAGAAGTTAATCTTTGAACTTGTGGAAAACCTTGGTTCACACGAAATCTCTTCCTCTGACTGTAGTGCTGACAATGAGTGCTTAGCAAATAATGATAACAGAACTGGGATTGATCACACTGAAGTCAATAAGGAGTCAACAACTTCGCATGTGGGGCAGGGAATAGAAATCACTCTATTGTCTGGTTCGTCATCTTTGGATCATCAATCTTTTAACAGTTCAGGCTTGGTTCTTAAAGAGCTTTTTGAGCCAGGAGCTACAGCAGGAGCTATGTTGGGACAGTGCCAATCTTTTGACCAGCGTTTCAATGGTTCAATATACACGATGGAGGTACCTACTTGTGTCTGCATTTTCTTTCTTGAATATGTTTGAACCATAAAGAAGCCTGTTTTTGTCAAATAATTTATGCTGTCTGCTGTACATTATACAATGAAAAATCAACTTTCGACCTATCACTTTCTGGAGCATAGTTTCTAAATGTAGTCGTTCAGTGATGAGTACATTTTTTATTAGTGCCGTCAAAATGGGTTGAAATCCGTGAGCCAACCCGGCTCACCACGGGTTTGAGCCGGGTTGGGTTGAAAAAAATGCAAAACTTTTTATGCGAGCCAATTTTGAGCCGGCTCACATGGGTTGAACCCGTGGTGGGTTGGGTTGGCTCACTAATCCACCTATTTTTTTAATTAAATCAAATTAATTAAATTAATTATTCAAATTCTATTTTTTTATTGAAATCAAATTAATTAAATTAATTATTCAAAACGCACAATCTTTACTTAGCAATAGAGTCTTTTGCGTTGCTGTCCAAAAGTTCCGCTATGCAAATAAAACCCTAAGATTATAGATTGGATAATATTATAGATGGAGATAAAGAAGAAGATACTTCAAGAAAGCATAATAATGTGGATTTATCCATTCAAGACTCCAATTTAATAGATGGATAAATATTATAGATTGGATAATTCAGGAATATATCATTTGTTTTATCTTGTTTTTAGACCTATCTACAAGCATGACAATTTTATCTTGTGCTATATATTTTTGTTAATGGCTATATGTAGTTTCTTGGTCAAACGGTTGTGTATGTCTCATTAAACTTAATTGGCAAAATTTTATGCTTGATAGCTTAGAATATATATAACAATATATTTTTTTTTTCATTTTCTTTTATATCAATTGGTCCAATTATTACTTTTTCAATTTAATCGATCAAAGTAACATGTTATAAGAATCTCAGAAGAAGAGGGTGAAAAAAAAGTTAATTAAGTGAGCCAATGAGCCTACCCGTTTAACTCACCAACCCGTGGTGGGTCGGGTCGGGTTCAAATTTCTTCGACTCGCTAATAAATGAGACAGGTTGGGTTGGCTCACTAAGTGGCCAACCCGTGTCGGGTCGGGCCGGGTTACTCGTTTTGACAGCTCTATTTTTTATGTTGGCAAGATATTTATTTTAGATCCCATTACATTCTTTTACATTTATGTTGTAAAACTAACCTTTCATCCCTCTTTTTTGTTGTATTATAATAGGAAGACAGTGATCTTGGGGAACAGTTTATGTACCTGCCTACAGATCCCAACTTCCAGCAAGTGGCTGGAATTATTCCTCAAACATGTTCTTTGCCATATCTTCCCAGGGAGTGTGGAGATGATACATGTCATAGACCACAAATCTCTCTTCAAGCGAACCATGATGTGGTTGAGTCATCTCTACATTCATCAAATGGTGCCTTAGATGATTCAGAAGACGTAAGGGTCACAGAAAACTGCCCTTCTCTGAATGAGCCCAGGTCATCTAATGAAGCTGAACAAGCGGAGAAAACTTTTTCGGCAATGGTAAATGCTGAGCATGTCAGAGATATTTCCACCACTATTATTGGAAATTCTGGAGACTCAATTATGAAGTGTGATGATAACAATGGAGATCTCCACTCTACTGGTCAAGAAATTCTGACAATACCATTGCAACAAGTTTCTCATGTCCCAGATTATGGTGAAACTCCCACGATAACATTGCAACAAGTTTCACAGTTGGCAGTTGACGAGGACACTCCCACAATTCCATTGCAACAAATTTCTGATACAGTAGATGACGGTGAGACTATTGATGACGTGGCACCTGATATGTGTGAGGAACAAGCTTCAAAGAGGCGGCGACTTATGCCTGTTGAATGTAATGGTGAGGGCACTGTGACAAATTCCGATCTGTAGATAACTAGATGTAGATAGATATGGCTTCCTTACATTACTTTTGGATTGTTTCTAGGTTGTACTTTACCAATGTGAATACTAAAATAGTGTCGTTGCTGGGTTGTAGTAGTTAGTTAATTCTGCGGCCAAAATTGGAAATTACCTGCGGACTTTAGATACAATTCATCCTGGCATTAGCAGGATTTTTTTTCCTTGATGAATTTCAAGTTCCCTTCTTACATCTTAAGCTTCATACTTAATTTTACTATTGTTCCTTTTGATTTTGTTTTTCAATAGGGTTAACATGTTTTCTTACAAATAGTGAAGTGGAAACCAATAAAAAGTTAATTACCAATGTTCATGGTGGATGTAATTTGAAAATAACAAATATGGGTTGCGTGGAACATGTTGATCCTTGTTTATATTTCAATTCAACTACTAATCATACTAAAGTAACAATACAGGAAAAAAATCTAATATGATAATTAAATTAATATAAACATTTAATTTTAATTTATTACAATTAAATAATAAAATATTAGACCCACAAGTGCAACCTTGTATGCGATTTTGTTAAAAAAATCTTAAAATTGATATGATTATTCTAGAAAAATGTATTCTAATCAAAGATGTTTAATAAAAACATAAAAAGGCTTGACTAAATTTATTCTCATCCTTTTCAAATTAACCAATCTTGAATGTTACTCCATAATTCTTCAATAAATAAAAATCATGCTTAAAAATAGATGAAAAGAAAGGAAGCTTTTCATAAAATCTGCTACAATACATGCTAGTATTTCATAATTTGATTTTTCTACTTTATTGATGGAAACACATGAAATAACAAAACACTTGAATCAAATGTAAGATTATAAAACAAAACAGGAGAGTTAAGTACAAAACAAATTAATTGTTGACAAACAAGTTTTTAACTTTTATCCATTATATTATAACTTGTTTAACCCTCGTCGTATTTTTAAATAATGTTGATCATGTTTAAATAACGTAAAAAATGTACACAAAAAAATTATAAAGAATCAACATTATTAATTGTTATAAACTATATACTATAGAAAAAATAATTACTAAAATAAAAAATATTAATAAAATTTATATTAAAGTTAAAAAAAAATAGATACACAGAAAACAGTTATAGAATTAATTTACTTATTAACTTCTGTAATATTATAAAATGCTTATAATATTTTATCAGATAGTTATTATTTATTTAGGTATTTTTTAAAAGTTAATAAAATTTATTATGTTTATTAAAATATAATTAATAAGAAAATGTGTAAAAAAATCAGTTTAAAAAAATAGTTAAAAATTAAATTGACTGAAAAGAATGGAATAAACCCAAATGTAAACCAAAATAACATAGCGTATTTAATTTAGGAAAATGTTATTTGGACAACAAAAGTTTGACACAATTTTGACAACGGCGACGTGGCAGCTGTGCATTGGCTCAGTGAATTGAAAACAAACCAGAAAAAACCCAAAATACCCCTCACCCCGGTTCACTGAGCCAATGCACAGCTGCCACGTCGCCGTTGTCAAAATTGTGTCAAACTTTTGTTGTCCAAATAACATTTTCCTAAATTAAATACGCTATGTTATTTTGGTTTACATTTGGGTTTATTCCATTCTTTTCAGTCAATTTAATTTTTAACTATTTTTTTAAACTGATTTTTTTACACATTTTCTTATTAATTATATTTTAATAAACATAATAAATTTTATTAACTTTTAAAAAATACCTAAATAAATAATAACTATCTGATAAAATATTATAAGCATTTTATAATATTACAGAAGTTAATAAGTAAATTAATTCTATAACTGTTTTCTGTGTATCTATTTTTTTTTAACTTTAATATAAATTTTATTAATATTTTTTATTTTAGTAATTATTTTTTCTATAGTATATAGTTTATAACAATTAATAATGTTGATTCTTTATAATTTTTTTGTGTACATTTTTTACGTTATTTAAACATGATCAACATTATTTAAAAATACGACGAGGGTTAAACAAGTTATAATATAATGGATAAAAGTTAAAAACTTGTTTGTCAACAATTAATTTGTTTTGTACTTAACTCTCCTGTTTTGTTTCATAATCTTACATTTGATTCAAGTGTTTTGTTATTTCATGTGTTTCCATCAATAAAGTAGAAAAATCAAATTATGAAATACTAGCATGTATTGTAGCAGATTTTATGAAAAGCTTCCTTTCTTTTCATCTATTTTTAAGCATGATTTTTATTTATTGAAGAATTATGGAGTAACATTCAAGATTGGTTAATTTGAAAAGGATGAGAATAAATTTAGTCAAGCCTTTTTATGTTTTTATTAAACATCTTTGATTAGAATACATTTTTCTAGAATAATCATATCAATTTTAAGATTTTTTTAACAAAATCGCATACAAGGTTGCACTTGTGGGTCTAATATTTTATTATTTAATTGTAATAAATTAAAATTAAATGTTTATATTAATTTAATTATCATATTAGATTTTTTTCCTGTATTGTTACTTTAGTATGATTAGTAGTTGAATTGAAATATAAACAAGGATCAACATGTTCCACGCAACCCATATTTGTTATTTTCAAATTACATCCACCATGAACATTGGTAATTAACTTTTTATTGGTTTCCACTTCACTATTTGTAAGAAAACATGTTAACCCTATTGAAAAACAAAATCAAAAGGAACAATAGTAAAATTAAGTATGAAGCTTAAGATGTAAGAAGGGAACTTGAAATTCATCAAGGAAAAAAAATCCTGCTAATGCCAGGATGAATTGTATCTAAAGTCCGCAGGTAATTTCCAATTTTGGCCGCAGAATTAACTAACTACTACAACCCAGCAACGACACTATTTTAGTATTCACATTGGTAAAGTACAACCTAGAAACAATCCAAAAGTAATGTAAGGAAGCCATATCTATCTACATCTAGTTATCTACAGATCGGAATTTGTCACAGTGCCCTCACCATTACATTCAACAGGCATAAGTCGCCGCCTCTTTGAAGCTTGTTCCTCACACATATCAGGTGCCACGTCATCAATAGTCTCACCGTCATCTACTGTATCAGAAATTTGTTGCNTAACATACAGACAAAAAAAAATCATAGAGAAAGAACAAATTTTAGCAAAAGGATGTTTCCTCTATCAAACTTCATTCTAGTCACCTAATGCAACAAAACACCAATAAGAACACTTCACTGCGTAGCAGAAATCAAATTTACAATTATCATAATCCTCCGTGGAAAATTGAGACGATTTACACAAAAAACAAGTACCTCAGAAATAGAAGCAGCGACGCTCAAACCAGCCAATTCCTAAAAGTTAGAAACAAAAGGCGTTAACTAACTTAACCAACTGCATTAACACACGAAAATGAAAAAAAAAAAAAAAAAAGAGAAAGAAAGACCATGAGCTGGTCGACGCTGAAGCCGAGAGGACCCATGAGCGTCTCATCAATCTCAGCGGCTTCTCGCTGTGTGAGGTAAGTGACGGAATCAGCGTGGAAATCGGCCATTATTGCAGAAGAAGATGCAGCAGGCGTGGGCCCACCGTTGAAGTTAGCGGAAAAAGGGCGAATTGAAGGTCGGAGAATACCCTGAAAGAAAAGACGAAACAGAAACGCGAAGATTTCAGTGAAAAACATGGAGAGAATTTATGAGAGAAGAAAAGGGAATTGGTTTTCTTACCGAGAAAAACTGAAAGAGGGAGTTTCTGTTATTGTGTAGAGAAGGGAAGGGGCTATGGGTTTGAGTGAGTGAATGGGTAAGGCATAGACATGTCATGCTTCTTCTGACGATTCTTCTTCCTCTGGGAACCAATAAACGCATTGATTTGGCTGTTCCTTCTGCTTCTGCATCTCCCCACTGTTGAACTCACTAACACTGCATATGGTGATAAAGGTTAAACTATGCACATAAAATCAAATCATAATCCACTTCTCCCATTTTGCACCTCTCTAGCTCTACGTGGTGTCCAGTGGTGGTGGTCACCCTGTGAAATGAATAAATTAAAGGAAAATGTTATTTTGACAACAAAAGTTTGACACAATTTTGACAACGGCGACGTGGCAGCTGTGCATTGGCTCAGTGAATTGAAAACAAACCAGAAAAAACCCAAAATACCCCTCACCCCGGTTCACTGAGCCAATGCACAGCTGCCACGTCGCCGTTGTCAAAATTGTGTCAAACTTTTGTTGTCAAAATAACATTTTCCTTTAATTTATTCATTTCACAGGGTGACCACCACCACTGGACACCACGTAGAGCTAGAGAGGTGCAAAATGGGAGAAGTGGATTATGATTTGATTTTATGTGCATAGTTTAACCTTTATCACCATATGCAGTGTTAGTGAGTTCAACAGTGGGGAGATGCAGAAGCAGAAGGAACAGCCAAATCAATGCGTTTATTGGTTCCCAGAGGAAGAAGAATCGTCAGAAGAAGCATGACATGTCTATGCCTTACCCATTCACTCACTCAAACCCATAGCCCCTTCCCTTCTCTACACAATAACAGAAACTCCCTCTTTCAGTTTTTCTCGGTAAGAAAACCAATTCCCTTTTCTTCTCTCATAAATTCTCTCCATGTTTTTCACTGAAATCTTCGCGTTTCTGTTTCGTCTTTTCTTTCAGGGTATTCTCCGACCTTCAATTCGCCCTTTTTCCGCTAACTTCAACGGTGGGCCCACGCCTGCTGCATCTTCTTCTGCAATAATGGCCGATTTCCACGCTGATTCCGTCACTTACCTCACACAGCGAGAAGCCGCTGAGATTGATGAGACGCTCATGGGTCCTCTCGGCTTCAGCGTCGACCAGCTCATGGTCTTTCTTTCTCTTTTTTTTTTTTTTTTTTCATTTTCGTGTGTTAATGCAGTTGGTTAAGTTAGTTAACGCCTTTTGTTTCTAACTTTTAGGAATTGGCTGGTTTGAGCGTCGCTGCTTCAATTTCTGAGGTACTTGTTTTTTGTGTAAATCGTCTCAATTTTCCACGGAGGATTATGATAATTGTAAATTTGATTTCTGCTACGCAGTGAAGTGTTCTTATTGGTGTTTTGTTGCATTAGGTGACTAGAATGAAGTTTGATAGAGGAAACATCCTTTTGCTAAAATTTGTTCTTTCTCTATGATTTTTTTTTGTCTGTATGTTAATGTTGGTGAGATTGTTCTTGAATTATTTTTATCTCACAGGTTTACAAACCCACTGAGCATGGTCGGGTTCTTACTATATGTGGACCTGGTAACAATGGTGGTGACGGTCTGGTGGCTGCTCGCCACCTGCATCACTTTGGTTATAAGCCCTTTGTGTGTTACCCAAAGCGTACCCCCAAGCCTCTCTATTCTGGATTAGTTACTCAGGTTGGATGGAACTCATCTTGACAGTTTAGAACTCCACACTTTTTTTTTTGTCTAATGAGTTACTTCAAGTCTCATGAATTGTTGTTGCCGTAGCTTGAAGCACTGTCTATCCCTTTCTTGTCAGTGGAAGAACTACCGTCAGATCTTTCAAATGACTTTGACATTCTTGTGGATGCGATGTTTGGATTCTCATTTCATGGTAGGTATTTTTCTTTTTGGGATTTATTTGCGCATCTAGAGCATCTATATGTTTCTCACCTATTGTTTTGCAAACCAGGGACCGAACAACATACTGTTACCACTGTTTTTATGCCGCTAATCATTAATTGCCTTTGTTTTCATGTATTCCCCCTTGTTATTTTGATGCTTACTGTTAGAATCAATATCATTACAATTATAATCTGCAGCAGCACTCGGTTAAATTAAATAACTCTTTCTTTTATTTTCAAAGTCTTTCACATCCCATCACATTGGCTCTGAATTCTGAACTACTGTATGGATCATCAACAAATAATTCCATTTTAATTTTATATGGCTATACTTTGTTGTTTTCTGTTTCTTCAGGTTCTCCCAGGCCTCCTTTTGATGATTTAATCCAGAGACTTGTCTCTTTGCACGATAATGATCAAATTGATAAAAAAAGACCAGTTATAGTCTCTGTAGATATTCCCTCTGGTTGGCATGTTGAAGAGGGAGATGTTGATGGTACAGGCATTAAGCCTGATATGTTGGTATGTTTCAGGGATATTTCTGTCTCATTATTTATTTCTTTAAATGTTGAAATTTAGATATAATATCGTCAGATATTTATTTCCACACAAACTGTGTTTCTATCGAGATACCATTCCTCCGTTGTGTTTATTTTTTCTGTAGGTTTCTTTGACAGCCCCAAAATTAGGCGCAAAGAAGTTTGGTGGTCCTCACCACTTTCTAGGAGGTAGATTTGTCCCACCAGCTATTGCAGAAAAATATAAGCTTGTGCTTCCACCTTATCCTGGAACATCCATGTGTGTTCGAATTGGAAAGCCTCCACAAGTTGATATCTCAGCTCTAAGAGAGAATTACATCTCACCAGAATTTCTTGAAGAGCAGGTGGAGGCTGACCCAATTAATCAGGTAACTTTCATGTGAAACAATACTTTGTTGCAGAGTTGTTCTTTTACCCTTTTTGTGGTTGTCAAGGAATTTAGCACTTTACCATGATCTCTTTCAGTTTCCAAATCTGAGATTTTAATGACTACAAATGATTTCCATTTTACAATATTATTTTTGTTATCTGCAGTTTCGCAAATGGTTTGATGATGCAATGGCTGCTGGTTTGAAGGAACCAAATGCCATGGCCTTGTCAACTGTAGGGAAGGATGGAAAACCGTAAGATTTTCTTAATGTTAAAATGGTTTTTGCCTGAATATAAGTGGGTCTTGTAAAATTAATTACTTTTCCATACTTCTGAATAATGTGTAATATCTGAACTAAAAGTTACAAATTACTCTTCTTGATCTGCCTGCAGCTCATCACGAATGGTTTTGCTAAAAGGGTTGGATAAAGACGGATTTGTGTGGTCAGTAATGATCTGTTATTTTTATTTTAGACCTGTTATATTTGAGCAAATGCTTAATTGTGTTCAGCTACTGCAATTGATTTGCACAGGTACACAAACTATGAAAGTCGAAAGGCACGTGAATTGTCTGAAAATCCTCGAGCATCTCTGCTTTTTTACTGGGATGGTTTAAACCGTTCGGTGAGTATTGCTTACATTCTGGCCAGCCACATCTTCAGATTGACCAATTATTCATGGAATTGATGAAGTTTAGTTTCAATCCAATCACGCCATCTTGGAAACACGGTGCGTCATGCCATAATGTACTTTTATATGGAGGGATAAGAAGGATCAGTATGATAATTGGTAGTTACAATATAACACCTAAGAGACTTTTTAGGATTTGGATTACTAAAACCTCAGGTGGTATAACATAGGGGATTAGAATATCTACTATCGGTATGGCTTCAACTTTTGGAGGCTTGAGTTGATTAGTGTCGGTAAGATTCAGCTGGGATTCAAAAGGGCTTGATATGTTTGGTGATCCATCGATGTGGTTTTAATTTTCTTAAGCCTTGGTAGAGAAAAGCTGATTTTCCATGTTAAAGTCAAAACAGACAGCTAGAAATTTTAGTCATGATAAAACTTGAACACGTGAAGTCTGTGTCCTTTATCATTGTTGTTTTCTCTCTTTTATCTAGCAAAATAATAATCCATATTGATCTTAATCCAGTCTGTTTATTTATCTATATTTGTTGCATTAAGTTTGTTATTAATACTGTTAGAATATTTACCCTATTTATCATAATTGTATTATATCTAGATTACCCTATTTATCATGATTATATTGTGTCTAGGATACTCTATCATGATTATATTGTGTCTAAGGTTACCCTAATTATCATGTACTCTTGTATCAATTTATTTTTATAAATAGAAGATTATGAGAGGGATCAAATCAAGCCCTCAAGAATTATTTTACAGTTTAATTCTCAAGTTGGTATCAGAGCAGGTTGTTTGAGTCTCTGTCTTTGTTGCCGCGGTGGCAGCGCTGGCCACTGGCGGCCTTAAAAATTTCATCTTTTCTGAAATACCTCAATGAGCAGTCCCTTTCTAATTTCTCTCTAGTCTCCAAACCTTAGTTGTTGTCCGCAACTGTCCAGCACCGTTTACCGTTGTCTAGGCGTCGTTTGTAGTTGTTCGACATCGTTTGTCATTGTCTGGTGCCATTTGTAGTTGTCCATCTAACATTGTTTTGCCACTGTGAGGAGCTGCCTACAGAAGTTTGTCACCATCAACTTCTGTTCTCGACGTCGTTCGTCATTGTCCTCCACTGTCCGCTGTTTCCCACCGTCCGCAGCTGTCCGCTGCCGACCACTGTCCGCTGTCGACCACCGTCTATTGTCGTCTGTTGCCATCTGCTGCCACAGTTTAGTCTAACTAGTGATCTGGATCGCCTCCTTGAGCGAGAGGGCTAGTTCTCATCCAGGCGCCGCCATGTGCGCCACATTTGTCCGACGTTCGTCTCCGCAGTCGTCACATTTTCTCTGTCGAAGTTAGGAGTTTTGTGCGCCTCGAGGAGCGCGAACCATCCCTAGTCGTTGCCTCATTCTCATCTTGTCACGCACGACTTCTCTCCGATAAGCTTCCGGCGCTTGTTTGTCACACGCCACCTTTCCGGTGTCGGAATCACACGGCGTCACTATAGTTCGTCTCGCTCGACCAAATAAAAAAAAACTCTCTCTTTCAGCATTATACCTCTGTTTCAGCATTGTTCCTTAGCCTCCTTTCATAATATTTGTTTAGCTTTGCGTATTGTAGCAGCTGTGATGTTCCTGATGACTTGTGTCATTTATTTACAAGTTTCCAAGGAGAGTCAGTGCTATTAGTTGGTTAGTTCCAAGGAATTTCAACACCAAAGTCATAGGTTGAAGGTTCCTCATGGCATGATTCAGAATCTTAGTCAAACAATTTCACCAGTCCCTTGTCAGATCTGTTTTTGGATGCTTTGATGAATAAAGGAGAGCATTATGATCTTCCACCTTCACGATTTGTCATCGGCGGCATCG